CCAACGGTCAAGTTAGTACCCGATTAAGGAGTAATCAATACAGAAATTAAAGTAATGAGATCTCTCTAGGTGAGAGTGCTTAGTGTTGGTAATCTGCGTTGTTAGCGAGATTAGCCGGTTGTTAATAACTCTGTTCTTCTCTGCTTGATCTCTTAATTATTCGATTCCCCGATTAATGAGGATTAATCGAGTATTTATAGCCTTGGGAAGCGTGCAACTCTCTAGGTTTAAGGTAAACCTAGGGCTGACCGGGCCTCTAGACTGGACTGGGCCTTGATGGCCGGTTTTCCCATTTGGCATGGGCGGACACGTGGCGTGTCTTAAGTGGTCCGTGGAAGACGTATCTGTGATTGACACGTGGCAGGTTCCTGTTGGCCTTCGTGAAGAACACGTGGCGGAACCTGGTTGGTCCACTTGTCAGACGGTGATTGGTGGATAAAAATCCCCTAATCATCACTCATCTCTATAGGTGCCATTCGATGGTGCCTTGGAGATTGGTGCTGTTCCTAGAATTAGCTCTATTGTGAAATCAATTGCTCTTTTGGGTGGCATATCATTCTAGGAATCTCTTCTGGAAACACATTCAGAAACTCATTTACTACTTCTACATCCTCAGGCTTAGTTGTCTCTTCATGTTCCATATTCCTCACACTACAAAAATACACTGGATGCCCCTTCTTAACATACTTTTCCAATTTTAACACAGATATGATCCTTGGGCACTTGGTTTCACCATGCATCCAATATGTCACCAACTCATTATCAGCTGTAGTCATTTTTTCTTTCTGTGATCGACAACTAATCTCTGCGCTGAACTTGCTTAACCAATCTATTCCCAAAATGACATCAAAGTCACTACTCAACCCAAACTCGATGAGATCTGACAAAAACACTTTTCCTTCAATTTCTAAAGGTACACCTTTAAAGGTCTTGTTGCACTTTACTACCCCACCCGTAGGAATAACTATAGGCAAATATACCTCATCTCCGATTTTCAAACAGTTTGATAGTTTTGAATCAATGGCCTTGAAAATGAAAGAAAAAGTTGCACCATAATTAAACAAGACTTTAACAGGAACAGAGTCAATAGAAAAGGTACCAGTGATGACATCTTTCGTGGAATCAGCTTCATGCCTACTCATCACATTCAGTTTCCCTAGAACTCCACTCTTCACCTGATTTCCTCCATTATTATTGTTGTTGCCTTTCGCTCCATTCTATTGTGCCCCCTTATTTCCTGAATAGTTGTAGCTTCCCTAAAAGTTTCTGTGAGCCCTAGTGAATCGCTAAACATCGCCCGCAAATTACCATATAAAGCCCACAAATATGACTTGGTGTGACCATTATGCCCATTTTCTAAAATTGAAATAATCTCGGTTTAAAAAATGTGGAGCCGTACTAGCTCGCCGGGGGAGACCGGAGGGCAGGCCGGAGATGCGGGGGACGCCGGAGGTACGTCGTCGTCGACGGAAAACGAGGTAAGTCACCGTTAAAATTCACGGTTTACCGTCGGAGTGGCTCCAGCGCCTAGGATGGACGCCCAAACCGTAGCCTGGACGTCCAAGCCAGACGCCAGAACCACCAGAGTAGAAAAACATAAGCACTCAGTTGTGCGTCGTGCGTCCTACGTGCACTGGGGTACAAACACTGCTGCAACACGGATGCGATCTTCACACCTCCGTGTTCCCAAACACCTAGCGCCTCGGTGTACAGTGCAGCCCTGTCCATCGCCAACAACTCCGCCAGCAAATCTGTCTGATCCGCATCAGCCACAGCACAAAGTCGTTTACCCTCAACACGAATCCCCAGAATGGCCTCGACGTCATGTAACATGATCGTCATCTCACCGAACGGAAGGTGGAAAGAGTTTGTATCCGGCTGCCATCGCTCAATGAAAGCCGTGATCAGCGTACTGTCAATCTTATCGTGCATGGTGGCAGGAACGTGATTCACCCCAGTGCCCTCCAGTCGCTCGAACATCTCGCTCTCCGCCGGCCAAGCCTCAGCCCATGTACGCAAAAAGCTACAAGTCTTTTCCCGGGTATGACATTTCAACAACCCCGTAACTGAAGGCCTCTCCTGGTCCTCCCAAATACGGGCAACTATGTGTCCTAGAAAGCTAGGAATCACACTCCCGTCAACAGGCCCACCGGGCACCTCACTCCTAACAACCCAAGAATCATTACCGGCCCTCGACCGTTTCCAGCTTGCCCTAGATACAGTGGACGCAGATGATGTGCCAGATCTACTAACAAACCTACCACCCCTACCCTTACGCACCTCCACCATATGTGTCTCGTACATGTCATCAACCCTCTGACTGAATGGACCGTAATCATCATACGGTCCACTGCCATCGTCCACATCCTCATCCTCATCTGCGCCCTCCTCCTGCTCCTCCTCCTGGTCACCCTCCTCAGCATCATCATCGTCATCGTCATCCTCATCCCGACGGTGGATCCGTTCTCTACGAGCTGAGGCCGAAATACCACGGGATCTGACATGTCTATGCCCTGACCTCTCCACTGAATAGCTTCTACTAAGAAGCTCTACATTCTTCCCCGCACCATGACGACCCAGTGAATTCTACACAAAATTTTAAAATATATAAACATACAAAAATTTATACGAAAAATAGCTACCACTACCCAAATCAAATAAACTAAAAACATACTAACAAATTAACATAATAAAGAAATTAACAAAACACTTAAATAAAAATAATAGAATAAAAAATACACTTAGAAAGGAAATAAAACCAACACAGAAGAATACATATAAACATAAATAATTCATTCCCAATTAAAATAAATTAACTAACCAAAAACAATATCAATAATAAAATTTAAAATAAATTAACTAACCAAAAACAATATCAAAGTCACAAAAAAAATATAAAAACAAATCAAAATAGAGAATAAAAATAAAAATGTACAAAAAAAACAAACAAATAATTGTAAACAAAATATAAACATAGAAAAAATACAACAAAATTGAAAAAATTTATAAAAATAAACAACAAAATATAAAAACAATTCAAAAAGATATTACACAAAAAAAATAAAAACAATATTTTAAAACAAATATAAAAAAAAAAAGAAAAAAAGGGGGGGGGGGCGCCTTGGCTGGACGCCCAGCCAGCGGTGGTGGCGCCAGCTGCAGACGCCGCCACCAGTGGGCTGGCGCCTGGGCTGGACGCCATAGCCACGGCTGCGGCGCCTTGAATAAACGCCACAACCGTGGCTATGGCGTCCAGCCCAGGCGCCAGCCTACTGGTGGCGGCGTCTGCAGCTGGCGCCACCACCGTTGGCTGGGTGTCCAGCCAGGGCGCCCCACCTCCGTCACGGCGGTTTTCCCTTTTTTTTTTTTACAAATTGTACCTTGCCTCCTTGGGACCTCCTTCCCTCCGCCGCCGCCGCCAATTCCTTGCCTTGCCGCCTCGACATTGCCGTTGTTTGAATTTTTTTTTTTTTTAGAGAGGTTGAAAGAAGATGAGCGATGAGAGTGTGAGTGTTTTTTTTTAGGTCAAGGGCAATATTGTCAAACCAAGTGAATTTTGTGGGCTTTATGTAGTAATTTGTGGGCGATGTTTAACAAATCCCCTTGATTATTGCCCTGTTTGTTTCGATTGGGATCCTTGGAGAAATATTCATATTCCCTGTGTCTCAACTTGTTGCAAGCACGGCCGGTAACCAAATTTCCATCACAATCTTTACCAGGGTGATCGTTCTTACACCTCTTTCAGTAGAAATGTCTTGCTCCCCTGTTATTTCCCTGGGTAGAGTTCTTAACTCCACCATTAAAGTTTAGTCCCCCGTGACGATTGTTGCCTTGGAAATTATTGTTGTTGTTGTTATTATGGTGGTACTTTTGTATCTTGAAGTTGTTCTGGTTACCTTGTGGGTTTCCAGAGTTTTGTCCCACCTCTATTCGCTTTTCCTTTCCTCACTACTAGAAAACACCTTATTTACGACGGAAAATATCCGTCGAAAAACCTTCTAAATCCGTCGGAAAAGGCAGTTTCCGACGGAATTCCGTCGAAACACGTTGTCGGAATTCACTTCGTAGGAATTTTGGCTAATACCGAGGGATATTTCGTCGAAAATTACCATACCGACGGAATTTCCGACGAATTTTAAATTGTCGGAGCCTATGTTTGACCTGAATGGGAACACTACTAGAAAACGAGTCTTTAGTATCAGAAATTTTAGTATCAGTAATTATTATTGATACTAAAAATGTTAATAGTATCAGTTATTTTTTTTCTGACACTACTTCCATGGTTTGGATGGTAGGCTAGTATTAGACTTTATTATAGTGTCGGAAATATGTTGATCCGATACAAATGACAAGATAGTATCAGAAATGTCCCGACACTATTGGATTTTTTTTTATTGAAATTAATTTTGATACAATAAAATAGTTATAGTAACAAAAAGTTCTGACACTACTAAGCTTTTTAGCATCAAAATTAATCTGATACTATTAGATACTTATAGTAACAAAAATTTCCGATACTAAATCGCATTATGAATATCTAGTGAAAAAATTGGCGCTATCACAAAACAGAAAATAAAAATATGGCGCCACATTCAAATATTACAGAAATTTTAAACCATTTTCATTTCTAAAATTTCACCTAGGTAATGTAACCAAAACCAAACCCAGAAAAAAAAAATTCCTTCATTTTCTCATTTCATCAGTGAAATAAACAAAGAACACTCTTCATCTCTCTCCTCATTCTATTTCACGAGCTAGGGTTCTAAAACAATCTGCCCAAATTTACCAAAATTATCACTCATCTACTCAAATTTACAAAAAAAATCACACATTATGGTCGACGCTGTTCTGTAATGGTTGCGCATCAAGTGGGATCTGCTGGGTTTTGCCGTTGAAATTCTCTAGCTGTGATTATTTTGTAAGTTCATAGTACTAATCTTTGAATTTCATTTATTTTGAGCTTAATTTGTCAAAAATTGTTAATTTAAATGTAAAAAAAATTAAGGGTTTTGTCTCAATTTGTTTGGTCATAAATTAGTGAGTATTTATATAATCATAATTAATTTGGTATCAAAATTTCAAAGGATTCTCCTTCTCCTATTTCTGTTGTCGCCAATTTCTGGAAAGGTATTTTTCCTGATTTCATTTTTTTTTCATTTTTAATGCTGCATTTCGATTTAATTTGATGATTTACGATTCATCGATTGATTTTAGGGTTATTGTAGAGGAAATTGTTAGTTTGGTTGTTTAATTAGGGTTTTACTGGATGAATGTGCAATGCAGAATTTGATTTAGAGAAGGAAAAGAGTTTGTTGGATGAACAAGTATGTTTGCACTTGGATAATCCTGCTGAGTGGTTGTTCTTTTATCCTTTGGTCTGAATTTCTTTTGAGAAATAAGAGGGGTGTCAAAATTGTTAGAATTTGGTCTAAAATTATATAGTAAAAAAAATTCGAAAGATTGTGCGATGGTTTTTGTTTGTGCGATGGGTTTTGTGCTATGGGATATGCTCTATTCGACAAAAGAGTAGCGTTTGATGAAGGTTTTAGGAAGTTGGAGGCTCCTCTGATTGCTTCCATTTGATTGAATTGCTGAATGATTCTAAACATGAGAATTCTCCTACTCAATTGGTTGTAACAGATATTCTGAATTTTGCCTTGCTTGGATATAAGTCTGAGAACATATTTGAGGTGAAGCTGACTGGCCGTGTGTTCATGTATGCGTATGTGTATTGTCACTCAATCAAAAATCATAAAATCACTCAAATTTTAGATTGTTTAGAGCCTTGTTGGAGGAGCCTCAGGCACTATGATGTTGCACCAATTTATCTTTGCATTTCCTTCTTTTTCCAATAGATTATTGATCTGACTTTAGGAGAATGGAATAAGCTTCAGGAATAAAGTAACATGTACTTGTATTTTTTGGGAAGAAAAAAGAGTTTAGGTGGGTTTCCGATTCCACACATTGTTCCTTGTGAGGAAAGGGGACTGTAATATTGATGTAGCCTCACTATTGTACCCTTGATTGGAAATACAATTGAGAGTCTGAAACTCTTGATAGGAATGCTTCTTGGTTGACTTATTGATAGTACTACGTACTTAGTATTAAAGAAGTAAGGGCGTCTCTAATAGTTGAGTAAGATTTCTTATAGCTTTGTCACATTAATGTTATGCTACAATCTTCTGATCTTCTCCAATGGTGAGCTATAATTGATACTACATGTAGCTTGAATTACCCCATATATCAATCAATATGTTTTTTTTTTCCTTTTAATTCAGATTCAAGCAAGGTAATTTGTTTAGTTCAATAACATACTTTTCTTCTGATCTTCTCCAATGGTGAGCTATAATTGATACTACATGTAGCTTGAATTACCCCATATATCAATCAATATGTTTTTTTTTCTTCTTTAATTCAGATTCAAGCAAGGTAGTTTGTTTAGTTCAATAACATACTTTTAAGTTTTAACAATAAAACACTTGGCAACTATGATCTTTCATATAATCATATTTGTTTAGAATGGATGAAAGTTTTGCAACAGTGATCTTTATCCCTTGTGGCGGTTTGGCCACAAACCCCTTGTAGTTTTAACTTTTAAGTGTACCATGTCATTTAATTATTGTAAGTGTTGAAGCATTAATCTGAAACACAAAAACATCTTACTATCAATCAGTATAAGCCATGCCTTTTAATGTTTGCATTACATGGTGCTTCATGCTTGATCTACTTTGTGTCTACATGATTTTTGTGGTTAACAACTATGTCCTGGTTAATCTAGCAATCTTGACATAAATGTCCGCGTGATTATTTGTGTTATTATTATTGGATAAATAGGTGTTCTTTACATAAGAAACGGTTGTTAATTTGATCAAGTCAATTGGGTTGGTTCCATGAGTCTTATTCTTTGTTTATAGTCTTTATACCTTCTACATTATTGAATGGTCAAACCTGTATCTGGTGTCATCTGTTTGATTGACTTATGGCAGCTAATGAGAATGCTTAGAAGAAAGAATCAGGATAATTTTCGAGAATCTTCAACATTAGAAAATGATGGACTATTATACGCTTTTCATAGAGGGGGCTTAGTTAACTATTCTCTGATGAGCTTGTCACAGCTACTGGACAAGATTAGAAATCCTCTTGAGCAGGACTCATTTGATAATGGCTTGAAAAAGGCATTTACTAAGTGGAATATATAATAGTATATTCTTCCTTTGTTCTCTATCTCTGATAGAATAAAGTCTGGTTTGCTTGATATTACTCCTATTTGGTTTGCATCCATGAAACAGACATAACATACTGACACTTTTATATTACAGTTTACACAAATACTCGCTTGTTCTTTTTAAATCGAAGTCATAAATTCTTACATTGTTTTCTGTCTTTGTGGTGTTGTTACTTTGACAGAGGTTACTTACTATTATTGGAGTTAATTTTCCGAATAGTAGAAATTTGATACTTTCATTACTTTGATAGTTTGATATTTTGATAGTTGAATTTGAAATTTGAATACTTGTGGAGTTGTTGATTAATAATTAATTGATAGATTGATACTTTGATAGTTCATAGTTTCTAATTCATTTGTTTGATTTTTGTCGTGCGACTTATGTTTACTCTCTTTTGCTGCTCTCTTACATGTATTGCTTTTTTTCTTTTTTTTTTTTTTTTTTTTTTGTGTTTTCAGCTAAAACCCAGTGATGAATTAGAATATCCAAGCTTGAAGATTGTTGATGCAGGTGCATGATCTTTTTTGGAAATCAAGTAGTTGCATTGTACTTTTGTTGAGAAAACTTTATGCTATTAATGTACTTCTTATTATATCTTAAATGGTGGTGGTGATGACGTAAAAACACTTTGTTTATATTAGTATGCATGCATCAACTTTTTGTACTAAAACTCTATTATGAGAACTTATGGATAAATAGTATAAATATTCCTTTTGTTCAAGTATTTGTATTGTGTATTAAATTTTAAATAATCATATATATTAGCATAATTGGGTTGTGAGTTAATAGTGATGCTAAAGATACTAAAGTATCAATTTTTTATGATAATAATGCATTTTTCACTACAAATTTCTCTCTTTAGTATCGGAAAATTCCGTTACTAAAGCAATTGTCAAAAATAGGAAAGTATTATGGTAACAATAATTTCGGACACTATAGGGTTGTTTAGTATCAGAAATCAAGTCGATACTAATTATACAACTCTTTTGTATCGGTATTTCCGATACCATAGTATATGTAAAGTAACAGAAAAATATTGATACCATTGGATATAGTAGTTGTATCGGATTTTCTGTTACTAATTAACTGATACTATTGCTATTTCTGATACTATAGGCAACCCTTTTTAGTATCGGATTGCAGAATTGATACCAACATATTAGCCACGGAGGTACTAGTATCAGTTTAGTATTGGAATATATATCCGATACTAATGATTTTTGGTATCGAAAAGTCACTCTTTAGTATCAGATAATTTCTGATACTAAAGACACATTTTTTAGTAGTGGAAGTCCGTCGCAAGCTTCCGACAGACAGTATTCCGTCGGAAAGTTTCTCAGCTTCCGACGGATATTTCCGTAGGAAGAAGGCAACTTATACCCATTGCGACGGATTTTAATTCCATAGGAACTTTGCGACGGAAATAACGACGGAACTATTTTGAGTTTGACTATTTTCCTACGGCACATTGCTACCCTTTGATACCTGTACTTCCTGCTTCTTATATTAACGATAGAATAAAATTAATGGTTTTTGTGCAAAAATAATTATATATATATACATATATATATATATATATATATATATATATATATATATATATATATATATATATACACAATACATACATATATATATATATACACACATATGTATATATATATGTGTGTGTGACACATATATACAGACACACACACACACACACACACATATATATATATGTGTGTGTGTGTGTGTGTTTGTATATATATATGTGTATGTATTGTGTATGTATATATATATGTGTATGTATATATATATATATGTGTGTGTATACACACACACACACTAATTCCAATCTGTACAGCCAAGTAATAAATACTACGTTAATTAAAGCTAAGCAACTGCGGGATTGCCCTGGCCTGCTCCACCACTACCCGGGTCGTCGTCCATGGGTTCTCGAAATGGAGGTCGCATGGTGGAACAAGGGTCATTGTGGTAACGACTCATCATCCTCTCTTCCAACCTCTTCTCCATTTCTTCCATTTGGGCTCTTACTGAGGCTTGAACTCGGGCTTGCATCTCGAGTTCCATTTCTTCCCGAAGAGCCTGCACCCTAGTTTCCATCTGATCCTGCATATGAGAAACAAGGGAGGGCGTGTACTGCATGGAAGATGTGGAAAGTCGACCCATCTGGCTGCCATAGTAAAGGTCAGCACTTCCGCCAAGTCCCTTCACACGTCCTTTTTTGTTCCGACCACCCACTGTCTCCCAGTACAGCTCATTCGGACTCTTCTGAGTCCTTTGAGTGCTAGCCTCCTCAACCCTCTTTCGGTAGGCCTCCTACAAGATAAACATATGAAAAGGAACAAACGAGTTAGTAAGTTATATAAATAAGCTTTGGGTACCATATTCATGAAAAAATAAACCAAGTAACATGACATAGGTGACTTCTACTTAGCCCAATTACTTCATTTCTTAGGAAATGAGCTCTTTTTTTCTCATTCCATATCAATTAAACATAGTTTTAGGTCTAAAGTGCTTGAAATGCCAAAAAAACAAAGTAACAAAGTAACAAAGTTTTACGTACAATATTGATGAAAAACGCACCAAGTATGGCCTAAGTGACTTCTATGTTGCCCATTCTAAAATATTTCTTAGCTAATGTTCTCATTTCTTATCCAAACATGTCAAATCTACATAGTTTAAGGGGTACATGCCTTGAAGTCAAAAAAAAAAACAAGTCCCTAAGATTCGGGACGCATTTGGAGCGAAATTGAACCAACTATGGCCTATATGACCTATTCTTTGCCCATTTTTCTTCATTTTCGACCAAATGAACTATTTCTTTCTCTAAACATGTCAATTATGGTTATTATAAGGGGTAAATGCCTTGAAATCACAAAAAAAAGTCCCTAAGGTTCGGTACCCATTTGGAGCGAAATTGAACCAACTATGGCCTATATGACCTATTCTTTGCCCATTTTCTTCATTTTCGACCAAATGAACTATTTCTTTCTCTAAACATGTCAATTATGGTTATTCTAAGGGGTACATGCCTTGAAATCACAAAAAACAACAAGTCCCTAAGGTTTAAAAAATGAATAAATGCTGTCAACTTATATTAAAAAATAAAAAAAAAACTCCAAAAAACTCCAAAAAAAACTCCCAAAAAACACCCAACACAGTGAATTTTAAAAAAAAAAACCAACACAACAAACACCACTTACCACTAATCAACGACGGCGGCTTCGCCTCTTGGTGGTTGTGGTCAAAACCGGCGGTGGGTGTGGTGAATTTCGGTGAAGCCCAGGTGAAATGGTGGTGGTGGTTAGGGTTTTTAGCAAAAATGGAAGAAAAAAAAAACCAAAAACACTTACCGGCGGCGTCCTAGTGGCGAGGTGGTGGCGGCGGCGACGCTCCCTTTCTCCCTCTCTCTTCCTTTTCTTCTTTCTCCTTCTCCCTTTCTCTTTCTTCCTCTTCTTCTTTCGCGTTCTCCCTTTCTCTCTCTTCCTCTTCTTCTTTCGCGTTTTGTTGTTCTGTTTTTTTTCAGAACCTAACGTTATTTTTTTTTAGTTGTTGCAGCCTTCCGACGGAAATTATTCCCTCGGAATATACAGGTTCCGACAGAATTTCCGTCGGAAACGGTTTTCCGACGGAATATTCCCTCGAAACTTGAATATTCCGAAGTAAATAAAATCCGTCGGAATATTTCCTACGGATTTTTCCGTCGGAAGGTATCTTTTCCGACGAATTTTTCCTACAACTCTATTTTCTGCCAGAAATTTCAAATTTTCCGACGGAATTATAGTCCGTCGGAAATAGTCCCTCGAAAAATAGTCTATTTCTAGTAGTGCCTTCCACTTCGGCTATCTCTTTCCTCTTCTTTAATTCTAAGGCATATAGGTGTGCAACTCTCCCATACACTTCATCCAAGGTTTCAAATACTTGCCCGCATAGCTTTAACTGAAAATCAGTAGTTAGTCCACTCTCAAACTTCCTAGCCTTAGACTTTTCTGTGGAAACAGACTCTTTAGCAAATCGTGACAGCTCAATAAACTTGGTGTAGTATTCAGTGACCGACATATTCCCCATTGCAAGGTTAGAAAATTCCTCAGCTTTTTGTTTATGTAAGAAGCTAGGTAGAGGTGATCATTGGGCGGGCCGGCCGAAGCTAAAAAATTTGCCCACTTCTCGGGTCGGCCCAAGCTTCGGGCCGGAATTTTTGTGCCCAAACCCGTCTAAAATGGTCGGGCCGTGCGAGCTTTTTTTGAAACATAGGAATGCCAAGAACCCAATGGACTTGAACACGGTCGAATGTAAACTCTAATCCATCAGGAGTGATCAAGCAATAATAAGGTACATCAACCCTCGTAGCAAGCCAATAACACAATTTTCTGGGAAGCTTCCTGTCAACTAAACCAAAAAGTCCGGCAAATCCCATCTCCTTAACTATCTTCCTTTTCTTTTCACAAAACTCATTAACAATCATACCAAAATACTCCACCCAACAATTTACATTTTTCAGGCTGCAAACAATTTATAATAAAAACACACAGATCAATAAACACATAACATGGATACAACTGATAATTATATTAACACTACTCAAGGCTTTTTACCCTTTTGAGCTCCTTCTTGCATCGTTCAATCACTTACCAATTTGCTTCATATTTCCGCCTTCACTAAGTTTATTGTCCTAAACAAAAAGAAATAAAAATAAACTCACTTGCAATGGCAAACAATAACAACACCCGGGCGATATAATTAACAACTCACCCGGTACATGGCTTCATCAAGTTTCTTACAAACCTACAAAGCCAAAGAAATTAATTTTCATCACCCTCCAAACAATTAGAGAACAACTTCAATTTAACTTCAATGTATCTAGAGTGATCGATAAATGTGTTACCATTACCTTTTGCAAGTTCCTACCACCAGATTCATCTTCCACTTCAGATTCTACTTCTTCTATATCCTTCAATTTGAATACACGAACAATATTAAAACAAATTACCACAACAGAGTTTCAATTATAAATTATACAAATGCACAAAACTCTTTCACAAAATGCAACATGTAGGTGCAAAATAAAACTCACACCAATTTACAACAACTAAACATGTCACCAGCTTAGTTAAAATGACAGTAATAAGAACAACTAAGGATGCCAGCCACTATGCCAATTAGCACCCAACTTACTTGGGAAATCACCAGTATATCCACAACATACTAAGCCTAACACCAACTTAAAATGTCCCCATCAATTTAGAATTACCAGTTTCGAATATTCAAAGTTAACTAATCAACTTACGAAGTCAACAAATACAGACATCAACACTGAAATTCAATCACATAAACAAATTCATTTCAGTGAACATGGTTTACCATTCCTAAATATTCATTCATACTTTTATTGCTTTATCATCATAGTAGTACTTGTTCCTTTCAAACAATGAATAAAATTTACTCAGTTTCCTAAATTTACTCAATTACTAAATTTCCTTAATAGGACTTCTAAGATTCACAAAATTCCTAGACAACGGTTACCTTTTCGACTACACGATTGCGCGTACGTCCACCTCTTCTTCCTCCCCTACAACCACCCTTTCCACCCCTTCTACCACCTGCTACAATAAACCCTTAGTAACATAAACCCTAGATTTGTTATGAATTCTTTGTATAAAAATAAATAACTTGGTTTACCTGACATGCCTCCACTGTTGTGAGAATGAACACCTTCAACACCTTCGAATTTCAATGAAAAAACATATCTACCACCGCTCACCTTCAAATTTTAGTTAAAACAGATCAGTTCAACAACCTCGAATTAACGACAATCCTTGTCACGAGCCAACCTCGACGAAATTCGACACTTTTCAGGCCGTTTTCCGATAGGTTTCGCTAGATTTTGGCTAGTTTTAGCGAGATTTTGGCTAGGTTTTCGCGAGAGTTTCTGATGAGGTTTTCCGGTGAAGAGAGTTTTAGAGAGAGAAAAAGAAAAGTTTTTTTTACCATAGTAAATTCTAGTGAGAGGAGATAGATTGTTTTTTACCGTCAATAACACACATGAGTTACTGTCTCTTCTTTTAGGACGATTTGACGGATTTGCCCCTGGTATTGGACACACGTGTGCATACCGGGTAGTGGTCCATCACGGCTCAATAAAATCCCACACTCACACTCACCAACTCACTGCCTCACTCAAACTCAATAACCCCAAACCCGAAATGCTCTGCGCAACAACTCGCCCACTCTTCACCACCCCCACCACCCACTTCGCCACCACTCGCCGCCCTCTCCTCCGCCGCATCTCTCTCTCCACCACCACCACCCGCGCCACAATGTCCACCACCACTAACTCCACCATCGAACACATCGTCCTCTTCAACGTCAAACCCACCGCAGACACCACCCAACTCTCCGCCATGCTCACCGGCCTCAACTCCCTCACCACCCTCCCTATGGTCCTCCACCTCACCGCCGGAAAAATCCATCGAAACCGCTCTTCTTCCCTCTCCTTCACCCACATCCTCCACAGTCGCTACCGCACCAAACAAGATCTCGCCGACTATTCCGCTCACCCTGATCATCTATCCGTCGTTCGAACCAGCGTTTTGCCCATTTGCGACGACCTTTTGGCCGTCGATTGGGTCGCGGAGAATCTCGATGGTCCCACTGGGGTTAAACCTGGTTCCGCCATTAGAGTTCAGTTGATTAAGCTTAAAGAAGGGGTTGAAGAGGAGAAAAAGGGGGAAGTGGTTGAAATGATTGGGAGATTGAAGGGGAGGATTAGCGGAATTGAGCAATCTTCCGTTGGGGTGAATTTTTCGCCTGCGAGAGCTAAAGGGTTTGAGGTTTGCTCAATTGGGGTTTTTGGTGGGGTTAGTGATTTGGATTCTCATGATGCTGATTCTGATCCTTCTAATGAGAAACATAAGGTTAGGGATTCTGTTGATTCTCTTGCCATTGTTGATTATGTTGTTCCGTCGCCTTCGAGTCAGTCTGCTAGTCTTTGATTCATGATCATCATGTAGTTTGTTTGTTGTATGGGATTAACAATAAACAATTTGATCATGTATTAGTAGCATACTTGTTGGTTAATGTGATTTTGTTAAGTGAATAAGACACTGGATAATCCAAATTTGATGGCTAATTAATGATGGGAGTTATGATATTGATATTTTCATGCAATTGACTTGTTTATAGCTGTTTTAGAATTCAATCCTACAAACTACAATGAGTTATTGGGTTTGCATTTGAGCCTTTGAGGAGAGGGGTTAAACTGTTAGTGATTCAATGTTGGAGTTTGAGAAGGGGATTGTAGAGGTTTAATTTGAGTTTCTGATTGTTATTGTTGTTGTATGTTAAAATTGATAACCGCTTAAATCATTATGCTTACCTCCCTTTCGACCATCAGACCATGGCTAATGGTGAGGCTAAATAACTATTTGAGTCGGAAGTGACTTAGCTTAAGGAAATTAGGCGTTGGATTAACTTGAATAAACACCAATCCGTGTTTTGCTTATACTTGTATTTTTCTGATACAATCACCAAGCCTTGTTTTTTAATTAATATAAGACTGACTGAGAAGAGTGATTCTTGAATGTTCCTAGTGAGCTAAAAATGATGTCTCATTTGGAGCTAAATATAGAGTGTAAATGATACACATTGATCATGATTCATGATTTCATGGTCATATTATGTTGATCATGTACATCATTAGCACCCTTGTATGGGTAATTGACTGCTTGTTGATTAATGTGATTCTGTCAAGTGAATAAAACATTGGGTTATGAATATATTCATGGGCTTTCATCTGGATTTGATGGTTAGTTTGTTTAATTTTTCAGCATATATGTGCTTGATGATGGGAATTATGATATTGAATTTGTTATGCTGTTAGACGTATATAACGAATTTGCATTGAGAAGAGGGACTACATTATTGAATTTTGTAATAAAATTGTTATTGCTGTTTTATGGTTGCAATAGCTAAGGTTTAAAACTTTAAACCGTACCACTAATGTCCCTTTCCGTGTCTTCGAATGTGGTTAATGTCAATTTGGTAGGATATGACTGCTGCTTAAGTAAATTAGGCGTTATATTAACTTGAATAAACACTTGTTTTGCATATGCTATTCTGCTGTGTTCACCTCTTTCTTTAACCAAAATTTAGACTACCTGAGAGGAGTAGTTCTTGAATGTCCAAAGTGAGCTGAAATGATGTCCTATTTGCAGTCAAATGTGGATGATAAGCTGTAAAGTTGAATAATGAGGATCATGGGGGATACTCAGAAAATGATATGTTTTGCTAATGGTTAGACATATTGAAAACAAGAGGATTATATTGCAGGTCTTTCGGACTAAAATCTTATGCTTTAGACATTAGCTGAAAGATAAAATAAACATCACAAATTACCCTTTCAAATGACCTAATCATTTGGAGAGGATGCTGCTAGCTTCATCGCTAGCTTCTGGTTCTGTATATATTGTGTGCCATCTAGGGCCCCAAGAAGCATTAATTTTGGTCCAATGACTAACACTATTCAAAATCTTTTTCGTTTGATATGGTTGTTCACTTATTCTGTATTGGTCCTTACCTTTGCGATGTGCACATCACAATCAGAGAGTATACAAACAGAATGTGGGAAGAGTTGCCAATAAAGAGTGTCAATATGCTTCCTATTTACTACATTGGTTTCTTGTGAACTCTTTTATAGAAGTATTTAATTAGAGTCTTCGTAGGCAGTCTGTCACTCTGTCAATGGGAGCTTTCAGCTTTTTACATGAATCATATCTCTGACTCCATTGTTCTTTCGTGTTCCCTTAAGTACTTCTGTGTTAATAATGTATTATTAATGTGAGCTGGCTGAGTGGCAATAAGCTCAGCTTGTTTTGTAAGTGCCATTAGCTTTATGACACAGTGCACTAGGATTATTAGGTTTAAGTAGAATGAGTAAGGTCTCGTTTGGTTTGATGTAAAATGTTTTCATGGAAAATGATTTTCCCATTTTTTCTCATTTTCCTCTTTCTTTTGGAGGCTGCCAATTAATCTCCGTGATAAACAAATTTCGTTTATCACGAAGTAAAACCGCTACCTCAAATAGTTGCTATTTGAGGTAGCGGCTACTTTGGTATAAACTGCTACCTCAAATAGCGGTTTTAAGGCAAAACCGCTACCTCAAGTAGCGGTTTCAAGGCAAAACTGCTTTCTCAAGTAGCGATTTTACCCATTTTCGTCGTAAAAATTACACTTTTGTCCCCGTGATAAACAAAATTTGTTTATCGCGGAGATAAACTTGTATTTCCTCTTTCTTTTGTTTGGTTTGTGAAGGGGTGGAAAACAATTTTCCCAACAGTGGAAAATTAAATCCTTTATAATGGAAAACATTTTCCTTTATAAAACAAGGGGAGCTATATTTTCCGTCCCTCCTCCCTACCTCCTTTTTTACTTTCCTCTCCTCCATCCTTACATTTCCACCCCTATTTTTAATTTCTCTATAAATTTTTTTGATAAAACCAAACAAAGGAAAACTAATATACAATTGTGATTTTCCTTAAAAATGTGTTTTCCATGAAAGCTAATTCTTCGTTGAAAGCAATAGGGCCTAAATTTCGAACTTCATTTTAGCCTGTTTTAAGCTGCTAATACAGTAATACTAATATGTGCGCACCTAATTTAAGCTAATAAACATTATTAAGCCCCAATTAGATTGGTGATGCCAATCTAGCAAATCGTTACCCCTTTACTAAGTCAAAGTTACTAATTTCAAGAACTAATAAATTTCGCTGATGGCACAAAAATTCTTCTACTGTAAACTTAATAAATTTTGCTGATGGCACAAAAATTCTTCTACTGTAAAAGATTTTGTTTGGCGTAACTTTGCACTCAAAAAAATTACTCTGTATGATTGATAACAAAGTTCTTGTGTAAACGGTTTCAAAAAAAAAAAAAAAAAGTTCTTGTGTAAACAATTCTCGGCACTTTTCGTCAACGCTATTGTGAAAAGTGTTAAAACACTCCGTAATTATCGGCCTTTTTTTGTTTCAATATTTCGTATCAAGTAATGTGTTGGGATCACATTGGTTTAAATTAGATGACATAAATACAAACCGTCTAAATTAGGAATTGGTTAGGACGTATGTCCTTTTCTCAAGCAATTAACCCTCTCTTTAATTTACTTTGAGATATATGTGAGAAGTTTTTTACCAAGACCCATGCTAATGCTTGATTTTCCTCAAGTATCTCACTTTCTTCGTAAATTTCACTATCCCCGATTAATGAAAATTATGATACGAGTTTAAAGTTTAGAGATGAAATGACATTACCATGAATAGATTATGATAATTTCCTTGCTAATTACATCCAAATTCATTTCTATAATTGTCATATACTACTAGCTATCATATGACGTCAATAACTATGAAGGTGGGATCTATGATGATTCTCATCAATAGCTGACCGAGTACGAGTACTTGGTACAATGGTACTTGACTACTTGTTTGATTGATAACAAAATTTAAGGGAAGTAGATATTCCTATCAAGTTGAAGAGTGCAATTTGACATTATTTGGTTGGCAAATACGTATATGGAAAAGTTGCACTACTTTAGGAAGATCAACTTTTTGTAAATAATAGACGGAGTTGGTTACCTAAGTCCATATAAAATATGAATAAGAAATTTCACATTTTTCAATCGAACAGAATTTTCCGCTTTAGAAATGAGTATACTTGAGAAAACTTATACTTTTAGGAAATTTTAGTTGTTTATGTTCAACAAAACGAGCAAATTTATGTAGCGTACAATTATATACTTTATTTTATAATCATGTACAATATTAATTTAACTTTTGCGTTATTTACATACTACGTATTATTTTTTATTTTGTTTAACCATAACATATAAAAAATGTTATTATGTAGATTGTTACTTGTATTAGACAGTCTTGATATAAATTTTCATAATATCAACCTTTTAAATTTTTAGAAGTACTTGAATAAACTATGCAGCCAATGCGGGTATAAGAATATCATCATAAGCCCAAAGCCCTCAAACAAATCATATGTTCCACGAGACCCCTGGTCAGTTGAAGCGCCAAAAATCTCTGTACTTTCAATTGTAATTCACGTAACTCATACCTGAGTAAAATTTCATACAGATTATTTTGGTAATTTTTCATAATAGGCTGATGGAGTGATGATACAAATTTGGTAGTGCTTACTCCAATAATTTACATTACATCCGTCTATATCTCTCCCATTAATTACGAAAACTTAATAACCCTTCTTTTTCTGTCACCCCTCATTTCTACTTTCATAGGGTGCCCAAATCAATAGGTCGTGTTAAATCGATACAATAAAAAGATACTTTTGTCACATGTTGATTTTTAAAACTAATAATCACAAGCTCTACTTTAAATAGCTTTAGCGATTTACATATATGTAAAAAAATATATTCATGTGAAATCTTGTTAGAATTCTGTCAATGTATCTTTGATTTATTTTTTTTATACTTATTTATAATTAGAGATATTTAACAGTTGACTTAATAAATAGACAAACATGATAAAATAACATATCAACTAGTTTGAAATGAAGGAAATATATACTGTACATAAATTAAGTTGACCGCTATTATAAAAACCCAAAATTATAAATAGTCTCGTCTCTTGCACATGTAATGCAAGAAGTTCCATTTGTCGTATAAATTAATGCTATGTCATATATTAAGTAACTAGGCAACTACAGTTTCTAATTAATGCTAATTTCATTTTCAAATACTCACAAATCGTGTTAATTTTTGATTAGGTATAGTCTTTGTGGTCCATGCATAATGCATCTTATTAAGGCAGTGTGATAATTTCTTTGGGCTTTGAAATTTTGCACAAAAGTGCTACATACGTACGCAAATTAACTCAATATAAACTACACTTGTTCAAGACAAAGGGATGCAAAAATGTCATACCATATCATATACCTTTTTCTTGTTTGCTTTCTAGCTCATATTAGTTTCTAGAGAGAATATTATTGAATGAAAGAGACTATTCCGACGTTATTCTCCCTCGATCTAGTTCTTTTTCTTCGAGAAAAAGATTCAATTCAATACACGGGTGCACATACATACACGACGTGAGAGGGAATTAGAGATGGGAAGGAGTCCGTGTTGTGCAAAAGAAGGGATGAATAAAGGATCTTGGACGGCGATGGAGGACAACATTTTGAGCGAGTATATTAAGATACACGGCGAAGGAAGGTGGAGAAATCTTCCTAAAAGGGCAGGTAAGAAGATCGATTTAAAATAGTATATGAATCTTAATTTGTATTTCTTGTAAGTTGTATAATTTGTTCGATGTCAAATGATACTAAAAAATTTATGTGTTAGGAATTTCTCTGGTAAGGTGGGGTTTTCTAATGCTTTCCCTCTTTTTCTTACCTTTTATATATGTATAAAAAATGATACTAAAGTTTATTTATGTATGATGTAATTTGATAGGTTTGAAGCGATGTGGGAAGAGTTGTCGATTGCGTTGGTTGAATTATCTAAGGCCGGGTATTAAGAGAGGGAACATCACCCCTGATGAGGAAGAACTCATTATAAGACTCCATAAACTTTTAGGAAATAGGTACATACACTGTTACACACATTATTTTCCCCCTTTTCCCTTCAATTTGCTTAAAACTATTTTATATAATTTATAGCTTATTACAAAAAAAAATAACACATACAAAAATTTACTCCCTCCTTAATTCTAATCTCAATTATGGGAAACGATGATGTAGAGATCGACAACTAAATTATTTATAATCTTCGCTTTTTTATTGTAAATTTGTGAATTTTTTTTTATTTTTTTTATTACATATAAGGATGAATACACTAAAGTTAGGAAAATCTCTTCTTAAGAATAAACCCTAACTTATCTCGTAAATTTGTGATTTAAGAAAGCTAGCGTCATCCAAGTTGTTATTAGGTTAAGATTTTAATGTAGAATTGTGCAAAAATGCAAAGCCAAATTGCTTGTTCAATTTTTTACCAAAAAAGTGTTCTATCTCATTTCCCCTCTAATATGTTGTAGGTGGTCATTGATCGCCGGAAGATTACCAGGTCGAACAGACAATGAAATCAAGAATTATTGGAATACCAGTTTGAGCAAGCGATTGAACCAACACAATACTAATCAAGCCGCGAACCACAATCTTAAAAAAACTCGAAATGATGTGAAGAACAAGAAGTTATTACCAACCATAGACGACGTACCTAAAATATCTACGCAGGCCATTGAGTCCAATGTAGTCCGAACCAAGGCAGTCCGGTGCACCAAAGTCTTCATCAACCCGCAACCACAACAGAAGATCATACGTGCTAACAAAACTACTAATGTCGCGGTTGTGCAACCAACAAGCTCAATGGATTACAACGTCGAAAATTTATGGATTGATCATAATATTTCTTCACCAAGACTACTAGATGAAGAGTACAAAATGCCATCGGATTTAATGATGGAGGTGTCTAACATGGGAGAATTTAACCTGATTTCGGAGCTTCTTAAGTCCGATTTTTCAGACATTTGTGAGCTAAGTAATGAGTCTAGCAAAGGTGCTAGTGATTTATCACCTAGTTCCCCTGAAGAGCCTTTTGTGTTGTCTCAAGAATTGCTTGAAGATTGGCTTGGAAATCAATAACAAGTTGTGCAACTAGATAGTTTAACTACTATGAGTACATGTTTTTGGACACTTTCCCAAAATAGTAGTTTTATTTTTACTTTTCAACATTTTCATTCTCTTTAAATACGATTCTGACTGTTTCTTGCACTTGATCGAGTACGTACAAAGGTAAATCATGAACATTGAGAATATATATGTGTGCCATATATAACTAGATTCATAGAATTTTATAAAGTTTTGTTACAATATGCTTGAATAATATCTTGGTCTTTCTGTTTACATCTTCGATGATCTTTAGTGTATTCGTACAAAATAACATTGCTTGCAAAATGCCGAGGGAAAGAATAAAATTAGGAGTGGTCGAGATCATATCACATGAGTTGATCTCAATAATCAATACAGGTTTTGGTTACACTTTTAAATCATAAGCTATTATGTGATATAAAGATATGGCCTTGGTATTGGTCTAGGCTCTATTTCCCTACCCGTTGGGCACGCGCTTAGATTAACTTAGAGAGCCTCTATCCGTCCTTTAAAAGGCCAGGTATCATTACTAAAAGTCATGGTTTAGGCCTTGTTTGGCAATTGGCTGTTGGCTACTGGCTGTTTCTCCTGGCTTGTCTGACCAGCTGTTTGTATTGGCTTTTTATGTTGGCTGTTTGACTGTTAGCTGTTAATAAATATGTTTGGTATAGTTGTAAGTTGGTTGTTGATTGTTTTTATATAAAAATGACCTTTAAGGGCATTGACATATTTTATTATCTTTGTAATACACATTGCAAATAATAAAAATAATAACAATAACAATAATAATAATAAATAAATAAATAAAAACAAATAATAATAATAATAATAATAATAATTAATAAATAAAAATTATTGATTAATTAACTAATTATTTATTTTATTAATATATTAATTATTACTAATTAAAAATTAATAGTTATTAATTATAAATGATTGTTTTTTAATACTTAATAATTATTTATTTATTATTATTAGTTATTAATAGTAAATTATCATTATTAATAATTATTGTCAATTAATTATTAATTACTATTTATTAATTAATAATAATTGATTATTAATTACTTTTTATTAATTATTAATTACCAAAAAACAATTATTAATTATCAATTATTAATCATCAATTATTAATTATTAATTATTAATCATCAATGACTAATTATTTATTACTAATTTCTAACTATCAATTACTAATTTCTAATTATTAATTACTAATTTATGATTATTAATTACTTATTAAAAATTATTAATTACTAATTTCTAATTAATTAATTATTAAAACTTAAAAATTATTATCTTCTAATTATTAATTATTTAAAATTAATATTAATTATTAATTATATGAAAGTAATTTTAATGGTAAAAAGCCAAAAGCCAATACCAAAAAGCTAGTAAGACTGGCTTTTTATTTTTGGCGAAAAATCCGGCTTTTTAGCCAACAAAAAAGCCATTTACCAAACATTGTTTTTGGCTGTTTGGCCAAGTTGAAAAGTCAAAAGCCAAAAGTAACGGAGTGTGGGTGGTTGGAGCTTGTGACAGCCGATACTTCAAGACGGGCACAAGCGGGTCCGAACCACGAGTTCTTATGGCAAGTTGGTGTGGAAAGGAGCTATAATGCAAGTAAGAAACAATATGTATAAAGGTCTAACAACAAACAAGTATAAAAGCAAGACAACACTTAGTAGAAGCCTTCTTGATTCCATTAATCATTCGCCCTCTAAAGAGCTTTAAATAGTACATGCATAGAATCTCTAGTGAACACTGAGATGATAGTAACACAATAATGAGATCTAAGGCCTAGAAAACATAAAGTAAACTCTAGGAAAGCATTAAAAAAAACATCTAATATGTCAAAAGGAGTCGAATTCTAACAATTAGCAAGTAAAATCTTGTAGGCATAATATTCCTATTCCACACAACTATGTGAAATTTTTACCGTAGACGCTTGTAGCCTAAAAGTAGGATCACTTTATTGGTTGAGAAAAATTAAAAAAAAAAAAATCAAAATCAAATTTAGTACAAGTTGTACTCCGTAGTAAAAAATTCATGCTGTTGCACATGAGCTAGTAACCAAAAATGGCATATTGATTAGTTGAATAGGTTTGAAATCTTGAATATAAGCTACTAGTATTTGATTATGATCTTCGAATCTTGCACATTTTAAACAACAATTATCTTGAAGGCCATTATGACATTATTGCTATAACAAGGATCTGGTGTTAGCCTTACTTTATGGCCTAGCTTGTATCTACGTTACTTGCTTACCACTTACGTTGCACTAAACTATAAAACTAGTTTAATTTCAAAACACTAGTTGAAAATAATATGGCAAAATAGTGGTACGTAAGTGGGTTAAGTAGTGTATGGGTGGCGTTTCTCAAACGTATGTTTAATACATTGACGTTTTAAAGGCAGTGAGTAGTATTTGACAAAGTATAGTTGTTAAAATTATACTGTAATATATCTCGAATACTAATACTATCAACCTCTAATACCCTCTAAGATAGGCTCAAACTATCTAAACCATAGTCAAATTGAAGATAAGATGTACAAGTAACTAACAATGAAGATTTTATAGGATTTAAATGCTCTAGGCAAGCATCTAGAGCACAACAACGAAATTGCACTGCGAATTTCTTTCTTTGTTTGTCGCCTGCACAGAATAAGACTCAAAAAGTAACTTTCTGGTCAATATATAGCAATAACACATTTATGCTCCTTTATCTATATGCATTTGCACAATTGTAAGCTTAACTGGATCAGATGCCAAAATATATTTATTTGGAAAAATAGAAACTAATAATTCTACCTTTGCTATTTCTGCACAAAACAATCCCACCTCTTCGAAATTTTGAAATAATCCTACCTTTTACCCCCATCTGCTTAAAACAAGCCCGTTTACTTACAACTTGTAAAAAAAAAAGGAAAAAAAACAAAATTCTATCTCACTTCTCCTACATCCCCACCTTGACCACCTTTTCTATGGAAGAACACCCATACCATCACCGCTCCATAAGCACCACCTCATCAAGACCACCACAGGGAGGTAATTGGGGAAGAGGAAAGAAAACAAGTTTTTATTATTTTAAATTAAACTCTATTTTTTTAATTCTTTATTAAAAAAAAAACAATCAGAAGGTGACACGTGGCAAGTCACCTTTTGAAACAGGTTGTTAATTTCACAAACCGGTTATAAGCTTGTTTTGAGCACATGGGGGTCAAAGGTGAGATTATTTCCAGATTTCGAAAAAGTGGGATTATTTTGAGCAAAAATAGCAAAGGTAGGATTATTAGTTTACATTTTTTCTATTTATTTCAATAATTTGGAAGTTCTCTTTTTTCTTTCACCGCATTACACCAAACATGTTAGATTTTGTGAATCTCCTTAAATGGGAGAGTATTCGACATTCCATTGATCAAATTATATAAACTATAAAGATTACAATATGACTAGTCATTACAAGAATAAATCTTTTTAACGACTCTATTGTACCAAACATGTGTATGTAGGTAGGTGATGTTAAAATTACTATTAGTAAAAAAAAATCTTTGTAGTTTTGAATTGAAGTAATATAACTGCCCTTTAAAATTACAATTATCGTACCAACCGAAAAAATTAAGGGTTAATAATAAGAGGGCACCCAAGTCTCTCACCGTGAGAAACAAAATTGTATATCTCACGGTGCCAAGTCATTGATTTTTGTTAAAGAATTGAAAAATTACTGAAAATTAAATAATACTAGATAAAATCCGTGCGATGCACAGTTTATTTGAATTTTTTAAAACATTTTTTTTTTTGTATTTATGTGCTAAAATTTGTTATATATTTAAATAAATTTCATAATATTAAAATAAAATAATTTATATTTAATTAATTTAAACTTAAAAATCTCATTTGCCAATTTTGCTTACGTGGCATTTGAATGATTTAATTCTAAAAGAAATTAATAATCTTTTATTTAATTGGCTACAACTTAAATTTATAATCCTACATGGCGCGCTAAGAAAATTAAATCCTATGTGGCTCTCTAAAAACTCGGGAAAAAACTCCTCTTTATATATGTATATATATTAGATTTTTTGGTCTGTCAATTAACACCGTTAAGGCAGAAAACCCAGATCTTCATCTTCCTCTTGCTAACCACCATATTCTTCTTCCTCCTATGAACCACCACCACTAAAAATAACCACCATATTCTTCCTCCTACGAACATCACCACTGTAAAGACAACCATCTTCATCTTCGATCTTCTCGCGATCCCACACACCTTCATCTTCCTCCTTACATCGACACCAACGACAATATTCATGGCGGCTTCCCCGCTAAATTAAACGAAAATCGGAGTAATTCAGGGTATGGTTAACCCAAAGGGTAAGTGGTATTTCCCTCTTCCAATAATTTCACCATTGAAGATAAGTTTTCCCTAATTTGTGATTCATCTCCATTAATGGCCAAGCACGAAGCTGACGATCATCCAACTTCTCCGTTTTCTCTTGTTGATAGAGTAAAAGTTGAAAGTTCACAAACACCCTTGGTTTTATTGCCTGAAATGTAGAAATTACCCTAAGATAAACAATTCATGTTTCTCACGAATAGAAACTTGGATTTTCTCTAATAATAACGACGGCTTAATACTCGTAAAACATTAAAACAAAACAAGACAAGTAATAAGAAAATATGGTAGAACACTATAACCACAAAGCTTATGTTTCAAGATACAAATCCTTTGGACTAGACCACATCGATCCAAGGAAGGAGAATTGGTATTCGTGATACGAAAGAACTCCATTACTCCCTCAGGTCGGAAATTTGGTTGGATTCACGCAATGGAGCTTGCCCCAATTTCTCAAGATGAGAAAAATGGCAAAAACATAAATAATGGCAAAAAAAATTTAATATTTTATTATTTTTTCCTTGCTGAGTCATCTTCTTCCTCCTCCTTCCATTTTTATCCTTCCTTCTTCAACCTTTCGAATCATCCATGGAAGACGAACTCCATCACCATAACCAACTCCATTTCCAACACCACCAATACCACAACAAACCCCAACCATAACACCACCATATGCGGCGGCCTCGCCGTCGAATTTAACGAAAAACCCTAAGAAAAATATATAAATTAAGGGTATGGTTAACCCCAAAGAGTAGGATTTTGCCATTGTTTGAAATTGTTCCCTCCATTGTTGAAGAAATATTCGATTTTCATTGTTGAAAACTGCTCAAAATTCATG